GCCTCACTGTCATCTGCCTCACTGTCATCTGCCCTCACTGTCATCTGCCTCACTGTCATCTGCCTCACTGTCATCTGCCTCACTGTCATCTGCCTCACTGTCATCTGCCCTCACTGTCATCTTTAAATTAATGAAGGAAATTTAAATGTACATTTAAATCCCATTCAACAATAACTTGAAATCCCATTACAATGGGATTAACAATAATAAATAATAATAATAATAATAAATCCCATTCCTATTTAACTATAACTTCTCAATTAAGTATTATTACTATTAGGAAAAAAATTGTTTAAAAATTCTTCTCAAGTATTCAATATATAATTATTATATATAATTAATTTAATAAATATATAATTATTTAGATGTAATTATTTCAATTTATCAAGCTACCTTGTGTAAAATTGCCAGCAGCGATTATGAAAGGCAACCTAAAACATCATATGTCGATTATCCCATTCATTATGTCCATTCTTTATTTATTTATATATGTTATTTATCTCATTTTGTCTGTCCGATTATCTATTTATTTATTTATTTATATTATCTCATTTATTATGTCTGTTATTTATTTATTTATTTATATTACCGTATCTCATTTATCCTATCCGATTATTTATTTATTAATATTATTTATCTCATTTATTCTGTCCGATTATTTATTTATTTATTTATATTATCTCATTTATTCTGTCCGTTATTTTTCTATTTATTTATATTATCTCATTTATTATGTCCGTTATTTTTCTATTTATTTATATTATCTCATTTATTATGTCTGTTATTTTTCTATTTATTTATATTATCTCATTTATTATGTCCGTTATTTTTCTATTTCTCATTTATTATGTCTGTTATTTTTCTATTTATTTATATTATCTCATTTATTATGTCCGTTATTTTTCTATTTATTTATATTATCTCATTTATTCTGTCCGATTATCTATTTATTTATTTATATTATCTCATTTATCCTATCCGATTATTCATTCTGTTTGTTTTATTCCAATAAGCTACGTAAGCTTCTAAATTAAGTTCGTTTCGTATTAACTTTTCGTATCGTAATTTTCATAAATATTTAATAACATGTAATGGTCAAAAATTATTAACGCTCTTATTATAAAATAAATAGTTATTGAATGAATGGATAAAATGGGGGTGCAGGAGTGAGGGGTGCAGGAGTGAGGGGTGCAGGAGTGAGGGGTGCAGGAGTGAGGGGTGCAGGAGTGAGGGGTGCAGGAGTGAGGGGTGCAGGAGTGAGGGGTGCAGGAGTGAGGGGTGCAGGAGTGAGGGGTGCAGGAGTGAGGGGTGCAGGAGTGAGGGGTGCAGGAGTGAGGGGTGNGGTGCAGGGGTGTGGGGTGCTAACGGTTCTCACTATCTTATCGCGGTTCTCTTATCTCTTTCATTAGTCGAGGCTGGTAAACTGAACGCGCGACGGCATCACTGCCTGGGGTGTTAAGGGGTGAGGGGTGTAAGCCGTCATCCCACCTCCGGTCTCTCGCAAAACCCATTATATTTTCCTATTAAAAAACACTTATTCAAACATTTAACCTTTAACATATAATGGCCATGTTTAATATAATAAAAAGTGGGTATAATAATAAAAAGAATATTAATAAGTAGGTAACAATAATAAATAATAATACCTAACTCTTATAATAAATTTATTAGAGATGAACATTTAACCTTTACCATAAAATTGTCATATTTAGTATAATAAAAATAATAGGTACAATAGTAAATAATAATAACAATAATAATAAATAATTATTATTATAATACATTTATTAGAGACGAACATTAAAGCTTTTCCATAAGATTGCCACTTTTAATATGATAATAATAATAATAATGATAATAATGACAATAATAACAATAAATAATAATTATTATAAGTAATAAATCCTGTTGCCGCCACGCAGCAGCAGGTGTTATTGATGTTTGATCAATAATTTTATGATGAAGAATTAGAATTTCATTCATCAATGTGTTTTATAACTTGATACTGAATATATTATACAATCGAAACGTTGTTAATATTTATTATAAATGTCTCTTGGTAACTGTTTTTCGAGTTAACATCGCTTACGAAAAATATTCTTAGATTTATTGATAAAAAAATACTATTATTTGTTTTATCAATAATCGTATTAGTTTTATCAATAAAACGCGCTGTGTGGCAGTTGTGTTGCAGTTGTGTGGCAGTTGTGTGGCAGTTGTGTGGCAGTTGTGTGGCAGTTGTGTGGCAGTTGTGTGGCAGTTGTGTGGCATCTAGTCACGATTATTCTCGTCACGATCTCTACTGCTGGCAGTTGTGTGGCAGTTGTGTGGCAGTTGTGTGTCAGTTGTGTGGCAGTTGTGTGGCAGTTGTGTGGCAGTTGTGTGGCAGTTGTGTGGCAGTATGTGGCAGTTGTGTGGCAGTTGTGTGGCATCTAGTCACGATTATTCTCGTCACGATCTCTACTGCTACTTATGCCGGCCCTACGTGATGCTACATGCCTCATACTTATATATATACTCATGACATTAATCTATTTTCTTCACTTTTTTTTATTTCGTTTGATATTTCAACTTCTGTCATCTTTTTTTAACGTACATCTTGCATATTATTCCAGTATTTTCAAATTTTCGTATTTTTAAATTTTTTTGTTTTTAGAATGTTCGTTTTTTCGTTTTTCAAATGTTCGTTCGTTCAAATTTTCGTGTTTTCGAATTTTTGTAATTCTCGCATTTTAATATTTTCACTTTTTCGTATTTTCAAAATTTCGGGCGTTCAAATGTGTCTTTTTTTAAATTTTTCTATTCGCAAATATTCTTAATTTCATATTATCCTGTTTTCCAATATCCTGTTTTCAAATTTTCCTAAATAAAAATTTCCAAATGTATTGTATTATTCATATGTTCACATTTTCGTATTCCTAAATTTTTGTCTTCTCAAATTTTCGTATTTTTAAATTTACGTGTCTTCAAATTACCGTATTTTCACGTTTTCTTATCTTCACGTTTTCGTATTTTCAAATTTTCGTATTTATAAATTTTCTTATTTCCACCTTTTTTATTCTCAAATTTATGTATGATAAAATTTTCGTATTTTAAAATTTTCTAAATTTTGTATTTTCAAATGACCTGAAGACGAAATACTCCGATTTGCTGCTTTGCGCTCGTTTTTTGACATTATTTTTCTATTCAAACCCATGAATTATTCCACACATCGTATTCACGTTCACCACAGATGTGTATAAGAGACAGCACTAGAGATGCAGCAGCACTTCAGAGACATCACTTGAGGAGTGGGTAGAAACAACATTAGAGATGCAGCAGCACTTCAGAGACATCACTTGAGGAGTGGGTAGAAACAACACTAGAGATGCAGCAGCACTTCAGAGACATCACTTGAGGAGTGGGTAGAAACAACACTAGAGATGCAGCAGCACTTC